TTTCATGCATGAGTAAAACTGTATTCATATCATCTCACCCCTCCCCCCAACTCTTCCCATGTTCTTCCTACTATCCCTGCTCAAATTCAATGATCTCTTTTTCTATCATTATTATAGAGTCATTGTAGACTGTGTATACAACCTACTGTGTTCAATTAAGATTGCCTATATATATGTGCGTTTAGGGCTGACCTCTTAGGAGCCTATTCCCTAAGCTATGTTCTGCATACATCAAGTGACACTAACAATTCTTATGATATACATGTTGGACATACCCTGAGTTAAATAGAATGGTTTCTTTGATTTAGGGTTGCTGAGGAACTAATAGAAACTAATGAAAGGGCTTTGAGAATTTCCCTGAATAGGGTATAGTCAGCAGGATTCCCTATTTTTTTCCTGAAGCCATTTCTTCAGGACCTGTCTTTGGAGCTAATGGTTCACTCATTTATTTGATTCCTTACTCTCTCTCTCACACACACATATACAAATTTTGACATATAAGAAACTCTTACAAACTTTGTAGAACAAAATAATGAATTGACTGATTCCTGGTGACTGCTGGGGCCATCTTCTCACAACTCACAAGCACACTATGGCTCCCCCAACCAATGTATTTTGTTCTGCCTCTAGCACCTGTGTTAGCCCATTTTCCTCTTTGACTAGGCACATGCAGAAGTGTGTCAAAAGATATTTCTTCCCTCTTGTTTGGTGGGCTTTCCGAATCCTGCCTCACACCCTTTGCAGCCTTCTGGGTTCCTCCCTACTCCTCCTCCTGGAGCAAACATACTTTAGTGCATCAGCCAAAAGGCAGTGCCGCTGCCTCAGCATGTGGAATGTGAGTTACTTCTAACAAAGAGGAGCTGGGCCCATGGGCTGTGTGGGGGTCAGAAGACTGCAGCTGAGCATAGCAGTGCCAAACAGAAAGCTTCCCTTTCACTTGGACTTTATTTGACCTATGGATAAACAAAGACTTGCTATTTCTAGAAATCCCATTGTTTCAACTTCTTTGCATTTCTTTTGCAAACTTCAAAATGCAGGTCTTTTTGGAACTTGAGGTTCTGCAGGCCCAGCCTTAACATCTCTGTGTTCCTCTTCTGTTTTTTCCCTTAATCGCTTTGCTTTATGTGCCACAAAGTCCTCACTCTCAGAAATACAGCCTTTTATTCAACAACACATGGCATTAGAAACAACACTAAATCTATAGTGTCAGTAGAGTATTCAACAGCCTCAATAAATGTAACCTATTCAGGGCAGGAATGAAGACTCGTGATTCAGCCTCCTCAATCAGCAAGTTATGCCCTAGGGAACCTGCAGTATTTGATGGTACATAATATAAAAATCTTTCAGCTCGATGCATGCCTGGTGCCTGTTGAGAACAGAAGAAGGTACTGAAACTGAAGTTAGAGACAGTTTTGAACTGTCATGTGGGTGCTGGGAATCAAACCCAGAGACTCTGGAAGAGCAACCACTGCTCTTAACCATTGAGCCATCTCTCAGACTCTCTGCCCCAATTCTTAAGAAGTCTTGTGTAAGATGAATAAATAAATGACCCAGATACTGATATTGAGATTCAAACTTCAAGCTGAAGGTCAGAATAGCAAAGCAGCCAGCTACTAGATTTTACCTCTAGCTCAGGCTGAAAGGGCTGATCCATGCATGAGCTCTTCACCAAGTCTCAAACTGCTGCCTCTCCTCAGTGTAACTGGAGAACAAATTCCTCTCTGAGACCTTGTTTCTGTCATATATACTTCCCTAATATTGGGATTAAAGGTGTGAGATATAATTCTCTTTTAGACTGATTAATTCTTGTGTAGATCTGGATGGCCTTGGACTCACAGAGATCTATCTATCTCTTAATTCTGAGTCCTAGGAGTAAAGGTGTGTACCACCACCTCCTAGCTTCTGGCTGCTGTGGCTGACTTTGCTTTTCTGAATCCTCAGTCAAGCTTTAATAAATCATAAATAACATATCACTATAGTCTTGGACTAAGGAAAGAAAATAAATGTATTTAATAACTACTGTGTTCCAGGCAACATATCTGTATGTGTATCTGATATTCATATCTATGTATGTCAGTGTTAGATGGTGTCTTGTTTTAGAAGCATAGGAACTGAATGAGACTTATTATATAACTTCAGTGACTCACTATCTGAACTAACCTCCTCTGGGAATCTTTTATTTTAACCTAATTATCCAGTACTATGATGATGTCTAATGTTAGAAATACAAATAGGAATAGACGTTCACCAATAATTTCTGGCTATAATGGTTCATTCTAAAGAACTTGCCTTGTTTTTGATTTTGTCTCTCAAGTGCTTTTCTACCTTCTTGGCCTTGCTTTAGCCACCACGCTTCTGGAGATTTTCTTTCTTCATCATAAAATCCTCTTTGTTCATGTCACCAGTCATGGGTGAAGCACTCTTCTAAATGAAAGTGAGGCTGCAGCAAATGTAATGATAAGGCATTGTCAGAGATGGAGTTCAATTGATAATGTTTGTGATGTCAACAGGGTGAATGTAATCTACCTCCAAGTACTTTTTGAAGGATTTATTTTTATTTTGAATTATGTGTAGGTGTATGTATACACACATGATTGTGTATACATGAGTGCAGCTACTGGAGGAGCCCAGAGGCATCTGATCCTCTGGAGCTGGAGTCACAAGTGGTTGTGAGCAATCTGATGTGGGGGCTGGGAACTGAACTCAGGTCCCCTGGAAGAGCATCAAGAGCTCTAAACCACTGAGCTATCTCTGCAGCTTCTCTGTTCTTTTGAATGTGTGTGTCTCATAAATGTATGCTCAATTTATAAGTAGGGTAATCCATGGTAAATTAATCTTTGATACAGCCAGATTTTTTAGTTATTACTTTTCACTTTTAAAACAATCTTATTTTAATACAATCCCAGTTCCTTCTCCCTCCCATCCTCCAGCTCCCCTCCACATTCTCCCACACTACCCCCCATCCACTCCTCAGAGAGCATGAGTCCTCCCTTGGGGAATCAAGAAAGTCTGTAACATCATTTGAAGCAGGATTAAGCCCCTCCCCAGTGTATCTATGCTGAGCAAAGGGAATGGGCTCCATTTCTCTCCATAGGGAATGGGCTCCAAAAAAACAGTTTATGTACTAGGGATAAATACCAGTTCCCCCGCGAGTGGCCCCACAAACTGTCCAAGCCACCCATCTGTCTCCCACATTCAGAGGGCCTAGTTCAGTCTTACAAAGATTCCCCAGTTGTTTCTGTGGGTTTCCCCATCATAGTCTTAGGCCTTTTGCTAATATTATTGCTCCTTCCTCTCTACGACTGGACTCCAGGAGTTCGGCCCAGTGCTTAGCTGTGGATCTCTGCATCTGCTCCATCAGTTACTGGACAGAGGTTCTATGGTGACAATTAAGGTAGCTGTCAATCTAATTACAGGGGAAGAGAAGTTAAGGTACCCTCTCCACTATTGTTTAGATTCTTAGCTGGGGTCATCCTTGTGGATACCTGGGAATTTCCCTTAATGCTAGGTTTCTGAAAAACCCCATGATGGCTCCCTCTATCAAGGTATCTCTCTCCTTGCTCTCCCTCTCTATCCTTCCCCAACTGGACCAACCTTCCTGATCACTCATGTTCTCCTCCCCCTTCCCCTTTCCCTTCCCTTCTCCCTTACCACCCTCCCTCTCCCCCCATACAGCCAATTTACTCAAGAGATCTTGTCTATTTCCCCTTCCCAGGGGGATCCATGAATGTCTCTCTTAGGGTCCTCCTTGTTTCCTATCTTCTCTGGGGTTGTGGACTGTAGGCTGGTTATCCTTTGCTCTATGTCTAATATCCATTTATGAGTGAGTACATACTGTGTTTGTCTTTCTGGTTCTGGGTTAACTCACCCATGATGGCTTTTTCTAGTACCATCCAATTGTTGGCAAATTTCGAGATGTTACTGAGTAGTAATCCATTGTGTAAATGTACCACATTTTCTTTATCCATTCTTTGACTGAGGGGCATCTAGGTTGTTTCCAGGTTCTGGCTATTACAACTAATGTTACTATGAACATAGTTGAACGAATGTCCTTTTTGTATGAGTGTGCATCCTTTGTGTATATGCCAAAGAGTGGTATTGCTGGGTTTTGAGGTAGATTGATTCCCCATTTTCTGAGAAACCACCATAATGATTTCCAAAATGGCTGTAAAGTTTGTAATCCCACCATCAGTCAGATTTTTAAAGGTATTTCAAAACAGAGGTGGTAAGTGTAGAGATATATTAGATCACCATTTACCAGGTTTTCATAATATTTTATTAAGAATGTAGTTTATAGTCAAGAAGGAGAAGAAAGGATTTTGAAGGTTCAAAGCACACAAATGTATTTTCCCCTTCCTAGTCTGCCCCGACTTGGCCAAGATGCTCTAACAGAGAGAGGTGCAAATTCTGATAAAATATGTCATCATTTGAACATTAGGACTTATTTTTAATTTTAAAATGCTGTAATCCAAGTAAATTTGATAACATTTTCTAATAAAAGAGTTCCTTGCAAATCCATTTTTAAATCAAAATTCATTGGTCGGGGCTGGAAAGGTGGCTTAGTGATGCAAAGAATCACTTTTGCAGCACACTCAAGTTCAATTTTCAGCAGAAGGGCTCTAGGAGATCTGCCACCATCCTCCAGTCTCCATGGGCAACTTCACTCACGTGTGCACATATCCCAACCTGGAAACAGTTGGACACACACACACACACACACACACACACACACACACTTAAAAATAAAACAAATATTTGAAAAAATTCATATTTACTTTAAGGGGCCTAGTCCCACCCCACCCCCCAGGCTAAGCAGAGACTAACTTCTTTGGCATGTTTTATTTTGTAGAAAGTAGACATTTTGATTCCAAAACATTAGCTTCACATTTCAAACACTAAAAGAAAAATTTTAAATCTATTGTCCCTGCCTTTGTATGGGAGACAATCAGTAATTTTGTGTCAGATTATGTGTTTTTAAAGTTTCCCTCTGTTCTCTCTAGTGGATGACACTGTGGTTGCCATTCCTTATGGAAGCAGACACATCCGCCTTGTCTTAAAGGGGCCAGATCATTTGTGTAAGTAGAGCCACTCTTTTCCTTGGGGGGGGGACTTGAAATTTTAGCTTTTATTGTTGAATTTTGTTCCCAGAAGGAATGAAAGTGCAAGATAACCAATCTCCTCCACATTGCCATGTGATATGACAGTTTTGATGGCTTCTGTTTATAATTGGCTGCCTGACTGAGATGGAAGAAGTCTGTGCAGTCATTATCTCTAAGCACAGTCATCCTGAAAAATACAAAATAGATGGTACCAATGGGCTCTACATATGACTGAATCACTAAACCTTTGTAACTGTTACATTTCTGTCTTCTTTCTCTACAGTCACACTTACCTTTTTTTCTCACCTCTCTTTTCCTCTTTCTAAAATTTGTTTCTTCTCCGTTCTTTTCATTTTCCTTCCATATTTTAAATATTTGCACAAACAATCCACAAATATATAGAAGTAACAAATAAACTATGACATTTAAAGAAAACCATTGCAAAAAATTAATTAATTAATTATCTGTATTAATTCAGAACCCTCATATCTTGAAGATAAATGGTAGGATTTGAGATTAAAAGGTAATAAGGCCTTAAAGATAAAATGGTAGCTTGGCCCACATAGGGTTTGTCTATAAGAACTGATCTTCAGTCATGCCAAGGCAGTGATACACACCTTATTCCTTAGGTTTAGTGCTATTTAGATAGAGATTTGTAAATTACAATGAGAAAATTATGGTCTGTAATAAAGACAAGTGTTTGATAACATTTCCTCTGAAGTTCACTTTCACTGAAGGACTCCCTTCAGTTGTTCCCTTGAGCACTTGTGGTCCCCTCCACTCTGCTCACCTCTGAAATCCCCAGTCAATTATTGTCTTTCCTATCCTCTTCCATACAATGCCCACCAAGCCGGTTTAATTAGCAAGGATTATTTTCTGGAAATCAGACTATAAAGATCATTATAATCAGATAAACAAGAGAAAGATAGGTCAGAGCCTGTCAAAGTTAACATATGCTACTAAGTCTTCCTAAAAACCAACACATTTAATTAAAGAGGTGAAGTACAAAAGGTCATGTGAAGTCAGGAGAAAGTGAGGTACAGTTTAAGCAAAACAAGAAAACACTGGTAAATCATCCTTATATAGACCGAGTTCTTTTCTAACCCTGAACAACCCTATATAGTCCAGTATTCACATGTCAAAAAATAATATATGTATGCACTTTATACCATCCAAATGATTTGTTTATCCCCTTGAGAACAGGACAAGGCTAACTGCTAGAAATTCTTGTGAGCAGTGACAGAGAAATAAAATAGCCAGACTGAGATCATTGCCACACGGAAAAATGACTTGATACTGCCAAAGAAATATTTGAAACAAAGTATTGTATTTATAAATGTGATAGTCTTCTGTATTTCCTAGTCTTATGATTGCTAAGAAGCTGAAGAATTTGGGGGTCTAGGAAGATGGCTCAGTTAGTAAAGTGTTTGCTGGGCAAGCTTGAGGATCTGAGTTCAGATTCCCCAACAACTAAGTAAAAAGCCAGATAAGGAAGCAGTGTGTGTCTGTAATCCTAACACTGGTGACAGAGACAGGCTGGTCCCTCAGAGCTTATTAGCCTGCCATCATAGTCCAGTGAGTCCCCAGTCCAGTGAGAGATCCTGTCTCAAGAAACTAAGATGCAGAGTGTTTGAGGGAGACACCCAATATCAACATCTGTCCTACATACACACACACACACACACACACACACACACACACACACACAAAATGCTTACACAGAGATAAAAATATTGGCTTTATTTTGTTTAATTATCCTAAACAATAACTAGGTAAACTGCAAAAGATACTCATGAATGATGAAATGCAATATGACATCTCCTTTTCCCCAGTGAGCATGCTGCTTACACTATATAGATAAGTAATACCAAGTGGTCCGCCCTGAATTCACACACATGAAGTAACATTACACAGACTGATCAGGTTGTAAGGATGTATGTAGATACATGTAATAACAATTAAAGAAATAGAGGCTACGAACTCCAGAGCAAGGGGATTGAACAGTTTCCAACTTGAATGCTCTGAGACCCATTTCATTCTGCTTAACCATTTATAAAATATCAGGTATGTGAATAAAACTAATTGTCAAAAGCTGTTGTCAAAAGAGAGGGAAACTCACTGGGTAGCACCTGTCCTCAAGCCACTATTGTTTTTTTAGGTTGAGCAACAACATATGTGCAGTAAGCAACAGAAAGTATAAAGGTATCGATAGGTTGGTGCATGAGCAGGAAGTCACACAGATGCCTAGGCAAAGCATGGATGCACCTGAACCTACATCAATGAGCAAAAAGAAACCTGAAGGGTATTGCTTGACTGGAGGCAACCAGGACAGACATCAGTTAGATGTGTGTGAGACGTGTGTTAGCCAAAGGAATTGGGTTACAGTAAAGTGGGATGCTCAGATGAGGTATTGGAAAGTCAAAGGGTATTTTGACAGGGAGCCATGGATTCTTGGATAGTAATCTTTAAAATAATTTCATTTGCAACATAATCTTCTGTATGACATAGCTATGCTTATATATCTTATTTATATTACAATTTCAATAGTGTTGGCTATCGAAAAAATAATGCTCCTCTCTTAAGTAGCATGAATTTTAATTCCACAAAATGTACTTGCATGTGTTCTGTGGTAGCCCAGGCATACCTGTCGCTCCTCTTCTTGCATTTGATTATATAGACCTAGAAACTAAGACACTCCAGGGGACTAAAGGTGAAAACAGTCTGAGCTCTGCCGGCACTTTCCTTGTGGACAATTCTACAGTGGACTTCCAGAAACTTCCAGACAAAGAGATACTGAGGATGGCTGGGCCACTAACAGCAGATTTCATCATCAAGGTAAGCCTTTTTGGTATTTTAATAATAAGCCAGAGCCAAACACATGGCACTTATAATCTCCAAAAGAAATTATAGAGGATGCATACATACATACACAGACCAGATAAATAAAAATAGGTGTATGTATGTATATAAAACCATTTGTTACATAGGAAATGTCTAATTCAAGAGTTTTGTTAGCTACATCTTTGACTTCATAAAAACATAGGATATCTTCAAGGAGTATCTTTAAATGTATTATTAATTAAATGGCCTCATATACATAGCCAATGTATCCATCATTATCTGGAAAATATAAATCATTTCTAAATAATTAGTGTATGATTGTTGACTAATATAAGGTATCCCCAGTAAGAGAGAAATGAAAACTGATAACCTGTAGATATAACCAACTACTCATGTTTCCAAAGGCAAACTCTGTTTTCTCTCATGCTGGCAAGAGGATTGACTGGCCTCCTTCTATCAGAGCTGTCCTACTCTTCGAAGTAATATGAAACACATTGCTGGAAGCAACAGGACATTCTATTGGAAAAATGCACACACTGGGAGAACACTTGGGAATCACAATAAAATAAAACATTTTTTTTTCTTTAAGAGGTCAGGAGGACCTGAAGGGTTTCAGCTGTAAAGCTGTAAAACTTGTAATGTGTCCAAGACTCCATAAATTTTTTCATCATGAGACCTGGAGCCAGAGGACATTTGATTTAAGCAAGGATTTGGTGACCCCATGGCAGCTGGAAGTAAGAATGCATAGAGGAAAATGTGATAGGCAGTAAGCTTGTATGGAAGAGGGGGTTCCAGAACACTGTCCTCTATCTACATCTGTATGGTAGCTCTTTTTAATCCAGGCCAGATGCTGGCCATGTGAATATGAGCGAGAAGCTACAAACTGTTAGAGATAAACTACACTAAGTAGTTTATCTAGTAAAAACTAAGTTATATATTAATTCTTTGAAACTCATAGACTACTGCTGAGTAGACCATTTCTAGAAGTCATCTACCTGATGGCCTTATAACAGTAAACATATGAGTTCCAGAAATACTATGCATCTTTAGCTAGTTTGAGGCATCATCTAACACTTTCCATCCAACTAGTTACTGTGTGTACATCACCACTTGGATACTCTACAAGCACAGTGAGGCCAGTATATTCAAGATTGAACTTAAGTAGGCTCAGAAACCCACAATATCATAGTCTTTTGTTAATCATCTCCATCTTTTAAAATGTTTTTTGTTAATTATGTTTAGTTACCATTCAAAATAATGGGTTTCACTTATACATGTGACATTGTGGCTTTCTCATACTCACTGACCTCTGTCTGTTCTTCCTCCTTCACTTTTGATAGTTCACTTCCTCCTCCCAAATCATCCTGTTTGTGCTTATATGATATGTGTCTATTTAAATCTAGAGTCTGTTGGGCGTTGGTGGGGCATGCCTTTAATCCCAGCACTCGGCAGAGGCTGGGCAGGCAGATCTCTGTGAGTTCAAGGACAGCCTGATCTCCAGAGCAAGTGCCAGGATAGGCTCCAAAGCTACACAGAGGAACCCTGTCTCGAAACCCCCCTCCCAAAAAAATTAAAAAATAAAAAATAAATCTAGAGTCTACATTCATATAATGTTTTGTTTTTCTCAAGCTCCCTCCATGGATAGGAATTGTATTGCCTATCCAAGCAACTCAGAAGCCTTTGAGTCACTTGGTTTCTTTATACAAACAAACTTAGTCTTGTTTCCACACTGTTTCTCAAAACTGGCCCTTCTCTATCCTGGATGCCTTTGTTTTAGTTTAGACCTTTGCATTCCTTTGACTAAGCTAATACTGTAGGTGCAGAATTTTTCCAGCTCAGATCCATTATCTATTTGGCTTCAGAATATGTTTTCTGGAATCATTTGTCCCTTTTTCAGAATCCTTCATAGCCCTTCCTCTTTGAGGTTAAACTGTGGATTCATAGCACAGCACCTATTATTTTGGCAACCACCCTCACTTTCAACTTAGCCCCTTCTGTTCAGGCTAAGAGACTGGCAAATCCTCCACACCACCAGAACTCATGGCCTTGGAGAAATACCATGGTCTCCATCTGGAATGTTCCTCTTTTCTTCAGGCATCCTCTTCACAAATACCCATTTGTGCTTTACCGTTTCTTCCTTCATCCCAAATTTGCTTATGTCTCCTGACTCATTTTTCCTAGAGGAACCCATGAACCATGCTCAGAGAATAAGGAATGTCCACCTCTCATACAGCAGTGTTTTCACAATAGCAGGTGGTGACGTGCCCAATTCATCCACCATGAAACTGCTTCAGGAAGGACTCGCCAGAGGTCAGACCTATGGTAACCTTGGACTAGAAAGCACCTTTCTTTTCTTCCAGCCCCAAACTCTTTTCTGTTTTCTGCATTCTCCTGAGTGTATTTTTCCCCTAAGCTTTCACTGGAAAACATCTGGAATTAAATGAATGTAAAGTTATTCTAAATTAGATTATGTAAAAATGTTAATGTATTCATAAATTTGAAAATGTGCCAGATAATTTAAGAAATATAGAAAAAAAATAAAGACAATCACCCTTTGACTGGTGATTGACAATGAAATAAACTTCTGTGTTTCTTTAAGAAATAACCTAAAAGTAAAGGTTATCATTTTATAATTCTTCAGAGTTAGCTGTTAAAATTCATCTCAACTTACATACAGGTTGGTTCTATATTTGGCTGCTGTGAATAATGGGATGGACAAGAGAGAGCAGATGTTTCCTCAGTATCCCCCCTTCAAGTCCTTTGATTACACACCCAGATGGGGATTGTTGCATCATACAGTACTTTGTGGTACTTCTATTTTTACAACACTTTGAGGAATTCTTTTTAGGCTGGCTGAACGAATTCACATTCCCACACTCAGTAGAAAGCTTCCCTTCTCTTTGCATTCATGCCAACTGTGGCTTTCCTCAGTTCTATAACAGCCATCCTGGCAGGTATGGAATGACAGGTGACCATGGGTTTCCTTGCAGTTCCATCATGATTAATGATGCCGGGTGTTTGCTTTGAAGCCTGTTGGCCCTTCCTTCCCATGTCCTCTTTGTAGAAGTTCCTTTCAGATCATTTGCCCATTTTAACCAAGTCATTTATAATTTTTTATGCTATTTAATTGTGTTTCTGATATATTTTGGATATTAACTACTATGGTTTAAACATACTCTCTCCTATTCTTTGGGATGTTCTCTTTATTCTGTTAGTTGTTTCCTTTGCTGTGTACAGTATTTTTAGTTTAATATAATATTGTGTTTTTATTTTTGCTTTTGTTGCCTTTTCTTTTGAGGTTATACAGTCCTCAAAATCATTGTTAAGACCAACAAATGTCATCAAGCAATTCCCAGTGTTTCTTCTAATGTGCATATACTTTTAGAGTCTACAACAAAAAGTGTGAAATGATTTCCGCGTATGATTAGGGATAAAATTTAATTTGTTCTTTCACCTGGGACATCCCGGTTCCATTTATTAAAGAGAATATTTCTTTCCTTATTCTGTGTCCTTGGCAACTTTGTCAAAACTAAATTGACCGTAAATGCCTGGATTAATAAGGGTGCTCTCTATTCTGTCCTACTGGTTCGTGTTTCTGTGTTCATACCAGTGCCATGTTGTTTTGATCTCTGTACTAGTATAGTAGACTTTGAAATAAGTGTGATGCCTCTAGCTTTGTTGTTTTGGGCTCAATATTGCTTTGTCTAATCTGGTTTTCTGTTCTATATGAATTTTTGAATCACTTTCCATTTCTATGAAAGAGATATCTGGAATTTTGATAAAGATAGTATTGAATTTGTAGGTCACACTGGATGATGTAGACACCAATGCATAAACATGATATATTTCCCATTCATTTATGTCTCATTTAATTTCTTATCATAATATTTTACATATTTTAGGGAATAGACTTTTTACTTCTTTAGTTACAGTTACTCATCTTTCTCCCTATAGAAGCACTTCTTCAAAAAAAAATTAAACTCCAAACATTGATTTTACAAGCAAATTTGGCATTGCTAGTGGATAAGCATTCTAAATGGTTAAGCATTCTAGAATTTACTATGTTCCGCTACTTACTGGTTATGTAACCTCTCGTATAATGTTTTATCTGCTGGAGCCTATTTACTCCTTCATAAAATGGTAATAGAATAGGACCACTCCCAGTGGAGCTCCCATGGGGTATTAAATGAGATAATATGTATAAAAGTAGATAGAATTAAACTACTTCCTTCCTGTCTTTTTGAAATGCTTTAACTACAAATCACAGTTCACCCTCTACACAATAGCAGAAAGTTTCTTCTCTGAAGATGGTCACAGGCTGATCAGTTTACAACTGGTGTCCTAGCAACAATTTGGCCAGTATCATCAATAAAACAAATAGATGTGAAAATGGACCTTCCATGACATCTGCCAATATGGGAATCACTGGGGGTAACTAGCTGGGTTGTGAACCCCTCCTGTGCCTTATGTGTCTGTTCTGAAGCTGCCGATTTGGCAAATGGTAATCACCCTCTCTGATAGAGTCCACCCTTCCTCAGAACCCCTGATTTGCTCTAATTTTGAAAGTGTTTACCATACGTTGGGATGTGTTCTGGGTTTTCCCACATAAATCTTTTATGCAGGAATCCAGCTTAGATGAAGAGATACATGATGAGCACTGAGCTATGAATGTAGAGGGAGCACACAGCCAGAGAGAGAAGAGTAGGCATATGCAGAGCTGAAAACCTGACTCAGAGTTCACACACTGGTCAGTGGAGAACAGTCACTTCCTGTGGAGGACAGTTCATAAAAATGTGGATTTCTGGAGCTGTAAGAAGACTAACGTTGTCCCAGTTGTTGCCGATATGACATTTGGTATGAATTTTAGAAAATTAACAAACATTGATTATATGCCTTATCATGTATATGGTGATTTGAAGTGTGTGTACATTGGTGAGGGTTACATTTAGCCACATGTTAACTAATTAACAAATGTATCATTTAACAAAGCTGTA